AGAGTAGAAGAATGCAGCTGGATCAACATTTATTGGATAATGTCAAGGTTGCAGGTGAGATAAGGACTGATTATATTTCACATAGAAGTTGTAGGCTGTTGATACTCTAATGCCACAAATCAGCGGATGTTAAAGCATAGTATTATCCTAAGTAGCATACTAAAATATTTACTTATAAATTTATGCAGAGAAGATCGATATTCTCTTTTTTATTGATATTTTGTATCAGAAATAGTGTGGCCAGCAGGACTAGGGAAGTAATCATCCCCCTGTACTCGGCAGTGGTGAGGCCACACCTCAAGTACTGTGTTGGCTTTTGGGCCCCTCACTACAAGAAGGACATTGAGGTGCTGGAGTGTGTCCAAAGAAGGGCAACAAAGCTGATGAAGGGTCTAGAGCACAAGTCTTACGAGGAGCGGCTGAGGGAGCTGGGGTTGTTTAGTTTGGAGAAGAGGAATCTCAGGGAAGACCTTATCGCTCTGTACAAGTACCTGAAAGGAGGTTGTAGTGAGGTGGGTGTCAGTCTTTTCTCCCTAATAACAAGCGATAGGGCAAGAGGAAATGGCCTCAAGCTGCACCAGGGGAGGTTTAGATTGGATATTGGGAAAATCTTCTTCACTGAAAGGGTGGTCAGGCACTGGAACAGGCTGTCCAGGGAAGTGGTTGAGTCCCCATCCCTGGAGGTATTTAAAAGACGTGTAGATGTTGTGCTTAGGGACATGGTTTAGCAGTGGATGTTGCAGTGATAGGTTAACGGTTGGACTTGATGATCTTAAGGGTCTTTTCCAACCTAAATGATTCTATGATTCAGTAAGAACTGGAAAATGCCAAAATTAATATTCTGAGCTGAGAGTAATATCACCTAAAGTGTTTTATTGAAGTGTTCTTTAAAGGGACAAGAAGGATGAGGTGTTGTAAATTATATTTCTTCAATAGACTGATACATTTTACAACAAAATTTTTTTTGATATGGAAATGATACAGAATATCTTAATATTTATGCAAAGTGTACAGAACACATATGCTTGTATTACGCTACATGTATTTACATGAAGAATGCTGCATATGAGAAGTGGTCTATACTTGTGCACAAAAATGCTCTGTTTTGAGACTGCAGATTTTTTGTCACTTCCTGTTGATCTGTCTGACAGTGCAAGTTATAAAGGTCTTGTCAAGCCAAAGATGGTTCTTTTTTTCCCCGTAACTATGTTATACTAATATACTTGGTCTATTCTGGACTTTATTTCTTCTGTTTCACATTTCATTGTAGTTCAGATGGAGTTTCACATTCTTGTTCAGGAAGGCAAACTGCGATTTTAACTTTAAGTTTGTGAGCAGTCCTGTTTGGTTTCATATTGATACTGAAAATTTACTTGCAAATGGCATATAGAGAGTATTTCCCTGATTGTGAATATTAATGGTTATGTTAATGGTTATTTGGAGTTGGTAAACACCAGGATTGATCCCAATACAGATAACAAAGTGTGTATTCCAATGTGGAGGCTTAGAAATTCCTGCATAGAAATTAGTTGGCTCTCTATCAAAGCCTTTTCAGGTCTTTTCTAATGATTTTTTTTTTTAAAGGTGCTATTCCTTTACAGCTTCCCCCAACTTTTAATAGAGATTTGGAGTGTTCATGACCACTGAGAAGCTAGTATTAAGTTAGCAGCCATTCTGTGTTCATTGACAAGGGAAGTAAAAGCAGAGAAGAGTGGAACACTGTCCTCTTTCCTTTGTGCTATTAAAGGGTGGTGCCTAGACCTTTGCAGGAAAAAGGACCTTTTTAGATACGATGGTGGAAGCTCCAGTACTCATGTTGGAGATGGCCATTTGTCCTGCATTATCTCTGGCTAGTATGTCCATTATGCTCAGTCAAGGCAATACTTTTCATACCCAGAGATTACATTTTGGTTTTGGATGGGCTTTGCATTTCTAAATTTTATATTCATTTGACCTGAAAAGGGAATTTTTCAGAAAAACAAGTTCAGATAACCATTATAAAGAAAGAATGGGAAGGGACTTTACAGAGACCATTTTCTTTAATGCCTTGGATGTGCCGCTTAATCAAAATTCAGTGTGGTGTGTGCCTTAGAGTTCTTCAGGAACGTTTTTTTTTTTGTTCGACCTCTCTAACCTGTTGTTCTATGTATCCTATGCAAGCATCACCAGATGAAGAATTTTAATAAAGTAAAATCCACACATTTCACCCTTCAGCATCACTGAAATATAAAATTATGCTAATTGTTGAAATATAAAATTACGCTAATTGCTTTTCATTTTTAGACCGGTGCTGCTGTTTTCAAAATATTCTTGGTATCTAGTTGAAATATATCTTCCTAATTACGAACCGTTAGTCTTTGTTTATTTTCGTTTTTAAAACAGGCATAATAGGTATAAATGCAGGGTATAAAGTTCAATATACCAACCTTTTATATGTTTTTTTCCAAATAGTCAAAGTGCTTGTGGGCTGTCAGAGTAAACAAGCTACATGAATATTGATTATTTTGAATTACATGAAGACCTGTTGTAATTCAAATACAAAATACCGATTAAATGATTTAAACGGTATTTCACACTCCAAACTCAAAACACTTACATTTAATTTATTCATTGATGAAACCTATACTCCACATTTGTGTATGCCCTTCTACCAAATGCTTTTCTGTATTATTTCTAAATGAGGAACCATGCTTTGAATTTGAATAACTCAGGTTGTTGTGAAATGGAATACAGTAATATAAAATGAGATTTATTAACAAATCATATTCTTGATCTATAGGAAGCGTCCATTCAGACTCATTTTCAAGCCCTGTTCCTGTACTAGAGAGAACAAAAACGGAAGATGAGGACAGAGCAGATTCCAGTCATCCTGTCTTTACATTTGAAGATTCTGTGGCCTGCATGCCTGCTTCTGATAGCTGTAGAAAAGAAGAGAGTTTGAAATCTCAGAATCAGTCTGTTTCATCCATACCATACTGTAAGTCAGAAGGACATGCTTCTGAAGGAGCAAACCCTGATAAAGAGGAAAATGTCTCGATAGAGGATGATGTCAGCGACCTAGAAAGCTGTGGAAGTAGCTTGGAACATCAAGAAATGCCTGTTGTAAAAAAGGATGAAGAAGATGGCATGGAAACATCCAGTGTATGTGAAGCAAATTACATCATTATAGTAATATATTCCTGATTTAATGAAATGTGAATGAACATGTTTCTAATGAGACCTGATATCCATATTAAAGCACTTAAGAATATGCATGATTTTAATCAGACGCTAATTTGAACATGTTTTGAAGTGTTCAGGCAAGAGTGGGAATTTGGATCCAAAAGCAGAATGTTTCTGGAGCTTGCTTGTTGACATATTTTCCCTCTAATTTTAGATATCTAGTAATTTCACTTTATATCTGTGAATCTGAACTGTCAGCAAGTATTCTCAAGCTATTCCCATGTTCAGTGCCTGCCAGGATGAGCAAGGCTATTAGCTTTAATTATTGCTATTGACACGAAATTGAAATTATTAGAGATGAGTGCTGTATTTGGTATCATGTATTTGTCTTTCAAAAAAATGGCTGATTTGACTGAGTCTTAAGGAGATTTAACAGTATGCTGGTAAAATGTCAGCAGAATGGGTTGATTCTGAGCAACTTACTAAGGACAGAACATATCAGTGTGGAAGCACATGGTACTTTATTTTTAGACTGATGCCCTTCTCAAATGAAGAAGTGGATGAAGCAAAGCTGAGGAGCATCTCTGCATGGAGTTAGGTGGAACAAAGTTTGCTTTCATTCTATTATATTGTCTCACATAGTTCATGAAATCTTATGGACTTTCTTGCTTTAGTTGAAACTGTTTCTGTAGTATTAAAGTTGGAGAAAGTGAATCTTCCAGACATGGCTGTCACAGGATAATACAACTATGATTTCAGGGTCTGAAACTTGCTATTCTTGGATTTTGGAAATGGCCTCAAACATGTAAAGGAAACACTTGAAGGAAAAGATCCCTCTAATAAAAGGAATATATTTTGAAATTTTTAAATAGTAGGTTTAATAATGTTTTCTCATTGGGATACCTACAAACTTACAGTCTGTCTTTACTCTTGATACTCTGCTATGAAGAGTGGCCAGATTTGACTTTGGGAAGCATAATGAAAAATTAAGCTGTGGTGATAGTCAGAGTAGTTGCTGAGTTGTGAGTTCAGTCCCAGTTTGGGAGAGAGCAGGAAATCCACTGCCAGATTGCCAGACGTAGTAGGAAATATATTTCAGAAGCCAAACTAAAATCATGCTGACCCTTTCACAGACATGAGCTCTACACTAATGATTTTTTTGCAATATTATGAGTTTTAATAATCTTGGTTCCAGCCCTTCCACTGTAACAATAAGGAGTACTATAAACATCTCAGTATTTTAATCATAATGTATTTAGAGATTATATTTATCTCTCTCTGTGCCTTTCAGCCATTTATATATGAGGTTTCAGATATTCTCCAGTATAACTGCATACTCTCTCTTTTATTATAAGTGAAGAAGCGTGTTGTACAGATGCAATTAAAAAGTCTGATCTTCTTTCCCTTTTTACTTAGTTGGTAACTTTTTCTAGATCATAAACATGTCCTGTGCTTTAACCACATCTTCCTCCCTCTGCTTATCACAGTAAATACGATGTCGTTTTGTAATTTACTTCCTATTTTATAGGACTAATTTTCAACCCTCAAATCAGTCAAGGAGCATGTGTGTAACCTGCTAGGTTAGATTCAGGGCACTGAAGACCAGAATGGTCCATAGGAATCATGTGAGACTCTGTCCTTCCCACCCTTCTGCTGGTGTGCTTGCCCTTCCTCTGCTCCTGAACCTCTGGATACCATCAGCAGCTGGTTTACTTTGTTGTTCCCTCACTGGCACTCAAATCTGGTGTTGTGAAAGCTTCACTGCTAGAGTTTGTAGCATTGGCTTTAGTTCTTGAAACTTTGATAACTTCAAGCTGAATGTACATAAGGGTGCTTGAGGGAGGAAAGAATTTCCTCATATCCCAAATCAACATGTTAACTGCATATAGAATCATAGAATCATTAAGGTTGGAAAAGACCATTAAGATCGTCGAGTACAACCGTCAACCTATCACTGCCAAGTCCACCACTAAACCATGTCCTTGAGCACCATGTCTACCCTTCTTTTAAATACCTCCAGGGATGGAGACTCAACCACTTCCCTGGACAGCCTGTTCCAATGCCTGACTACCCTTTCGGTGAAGAAGTTTTTTCTAATATCCAACCTAAACTTCCCCTGGTGCAGCTTGAGGCCGTTTCCTCTTGTGCTATCGCTTGTTACTAGGGAGAAGAGGCCAACCCCCACCTCGCTACAACCTCCTTTCAGATAGTGGTACAGAGCAATAAGGTCTCCCCTCAGCCTCCTCTTCTCCAGACTAAACAACCCCAGCTCCCTCAGCCACTCCTCATAAGACTTGTGCTCCAGACCCT